TCTCTCTCTCTCTGTCTCTCATCTTTATTTAATGTCTCTCACTCACTTTTCCCTTTTTATCTTCGTAGTTTCCTCTTTTCTTTTTTTTTCTCATTTTTTAATACTTAAATGACCCCGTCTCTCTCTCTCTCTCTCTCTGCCAATGTATTCCCATGCTCGCTCTGTCTCTAGCTCTGTCTGCTGATCAGCTGACTCTCGGAGCGTCCCGTGGCTCCCGGCCGCATTATGCACCATGGCAACAGGCCATCAAAGCCCATCGTCGGGCGTGCGACCACTGTTTAACACACACAAAGAATCTCCCCAAGCCTACCTCTCTTTGTTTTGGTGAATTAGCCACAGGATGTTAAAGATCTGTTAGCGGCGTACCTCAGGGCTCTGCTCTAGAGCCTCTTATACATTCACATCTACAGTATATCTCCAGTATGATACAGTTATATGATCTGTTGCTTTCAGTCGCTAACAGTCCGGTCGTCACTCGCCCTCAGAACTCAACTACATCTGCATCTTTCAATGGCTTTGTCAGATCTAGATTTTGTACTTTAACGTTTACCTGTTTCTGTCAAAGTCTAAGTTCAGACGGTGACTTCAGGAGTGTGAAATCAACCAAAAGAATTATGTTATAATGTCTTTAGTGATGTGTGTGTGTGTGTGTGTGTGTTTGTGTTTGTGCACGTTATTCTGCAGAACTCTCCAGAAATCCTCTTACCTCTCGGAGCCTCGGTGTCCGCGGCAGCTGCAGAGCGACTTCTTCCTCCTCCTGCTCGCCGCCCCTCACTTTGCTGGCAGCGCTCCCACCCTCCTCCTCCTCCTCCCTCTTTCTTCTTCCCATTCTCCTCCCTTCCTCCATCTCCTTGCTGGCTGCCTGCCAGCTCCTTCTCCCCTGTCGCCAACACTGCTGCTGTCATCTCTCGTTCTTCCTCTTCTTCTTCTCCTCTTCCTCCCTCTTTCAGCTCCAGCTCAGAGAAACGCAGCATCGCTCGCTGGAAAAAAGAATAGAATAAAAATATCAGCAGGAACAAACCTGGTCATTTACTGAGGAAGTTGCGTAAGTGCTGCCTACAATACCCATGATTCCCTGCTCAACCTTCTCACCTGTCACATAAAAGTACTGAGATCTTAGACTGTTTATAACAACATGCGTAGACTTGACGTAGTGATGTAATCTTGCCATCAACTATGTCACGTGACATGTCCGAGCTGTCGTGTGTGATCTGTGGAGGGAACTGTTGCTGATATTGATGATGTCACACATATAAATATGCAGCTGGAGCCTCCAGACGTTTCAGAGTTTCTCAAACCACAAACAAACCACACGGTGAACAAAGATAAACTTTGGATAAAGTACATATGTTTCTCAGCCAGTTCTTCTCTGGGCGCCCCCTAGAGGCTGCAGTGTTGTTACAGTTGTTTTATATAAATGAAAAATACAATCACCACCTTGCGGTTGTTGGTCTTCACCAATTAGTGCAGTTTCAATTTTTACATTTTATCTACAGGCTCATGAGGTCATGTGACATTTGACCTTCAACCACTCAATTCAGTTCATCTGTGAGTCCAACTGGACGTTTGTATCATATTGAAAGAACGTCTGTCTGGGCATTCTTAACACCGAGAACGTTTCCAGAGGAACACTTCAACTCCTTCCAGTCAAACTCTCGAGCTACTTTCAGACTGAACTCCTCAGTTCTCTGTTTCTTCTCTGGAGGATGAACACAAAATGTCAGAGTGAGATCAGTTTCTCTTTCTCCTCCTGAGCTCCTAAGTCTGTAGATGAAGCTGTTGTGAACGAGTCTGTGCAGAAAACCTGCTGCTGTGTTGCTCAGGTGTGAAACACAAACAATGGAGAAATTCTCTGGATTTTATCTGGAGGTCAAGTCTGAAAACAGCTTCAATGATATTTTTACTCTGATACAGTCACTTTCACTACTTTCCAGTTTTAAAGCTGCAGTGTCCCTCCTACCGGTTTTTTTACTTCAACTCTTTTCAGTGCTCGAACTTCATTGTTTGCAATTGAGAAAAAACAGATTATCCAGTAAACCTCATGATAATCTGACCATCAGTTGTAAAGAAGTCTCACTCTGGACTCAAATCTAGAAGCAGAAATATGAGTGAACGCCTCCTTCTGTTGGATTTTTATCACGTTTCATGATTTAGTTAAAAATTATATGTCTGTTCTTTTCTCAGACAGAGAGGAGTCTCCATGTCCTCGATCATGACAGTCATGACTTCCCACTGAGGTGCATCACTTGTAACCTCTGGTAACCGCCGGTAACAGTTGGTCATGGTGGGTATTCGCTCCCCGAACGCTGCCTGACAGGCCAGCGTTTCTCCTCCCTCTGTCATGAGCACAAACCCATCTTAAAAATTAACGACCCGTGAAATGATCTACAATTCCATCCAACGCCGCCGCTCAGATCTGCCAGCAGCCAGCGGCGTTAATATGAGCTGGAACACCCCCCCACAACTCCTCCACGCTCCTTCAGTAACAATCAAAGAAATAAACGCAGACACACTGTGATGGACATAGTAACAACACAGTGAAGAAAGTTCGAGAACGCCCTTCATTATATTTATATAATTATTCATGACAATAATGATGCAGCTACTTTAATACATCATCACTTATTGTACATTAATAAAATCAAACTATCAGAGATAATAGTCACAGATATTTCAGTGTTTAATATCGGCCCACACGTCATCTTGTACGATGTTTGATCCCCCTGCATGTCAGACTTTCAAATATTACGATGGTTTATTTATTCCTGCTTCAACAAAAAACAGCTTCCATTAAGAAAAAAAGACTAATCTGGGCTCCAGGGTCGGAGGAGGAAGAGGAGGATTTCATTAAAAAAACAACACTGAGCTTCTTCCTCCTCTTTCTGCTGAGGGTTAGAAGAGAAGGATGAAGAGGAGGAATTTAATTTCAGGGAAAAGAAGATCTCCAGGGAACAAGGATGTAAAAACACAGAAAACAGCTAGAGAAAGAAAAACACAGCAGAAAGAGATGGAGGGAGAGAAAAGACTGAGAGACACATTAGTAAAAAATAGAGGCGGTTTCCTTCATTCTTTGGGGAAAAGCAGCAGATGAACAGTCGCCTGCAGTCAAACGCTGTGTTTTCCTAACATGAGCCAAACATCTGCAGATGGAAAAAGACCATGTGAAGAAAAAGAGAGAGAGAGAGAAAGCGATTGTCTTCTCCTCATACCAGCGAATACATATCTACATCTTCTACCACATTGAAATAACTTTTAACAAACTAACATCATTCAGAAAACATTAAAACCACATGAAAACTTTTTCTATCTTCACTTTAACACATTCTCTGCCTGGAAACTTAAAGGCTCCACCAACCCTAACACACCAGGAAGAGAACGTGGGCGTCATCGTTTACTAAAGTCTCAGTTTGTGTTCAGACTAAACACAAAACCAGAGTTTTCAAACTAAAACAAGACCAGCAGCGTTTACAGAGCAGAGAGAGAACCACACTGTAGTTCCACAGAAAATATCTGTAGGACCTCAAACGCAGCCCTGAGGAGAAGTTACTCATCCTCACAGAAACTGTTTCCAACCTGATCTCAGAAACTCTTATCGATGTATCATTTCAATGTGGCTGTAGCCAAGAAGAACAGGATCAGTTTTTCCTGTTGATGTCAAAATGATATCGCTGTTTCAAACAATGAACATAAAGAGACCAGCATTGCTATTTTAGTTCCATCATCTCTCTGTCACATCCTCTCACAAGACTGGCAAACTAATATTCAACAATTCATCCAACCTCCTATCAGTGGCAGTGTTGTGATCCGCTCCAGACCACCAGTCAAAATTAGATTAGACAATCACTGTTTACAGAATAATGAGACAATCAAGAATTAACAAGAATGTAGACAGGGATCTTACCTGGATCACTTTCTGCTCCCTGCTCAGCTGGCTGGAATCGGCGTAAAGCTCCGCCGTCACACATTTAAAGCGGTCACCCACGTAGCCAGAAGAATTAGCGTTGCGCTTGGTGAGGCCAGAGCGTCTGTTCTTGCTGCAGCTGGGGCCTTCATCATCATCAACTAGTGGATCCATGTCGTCCTGGATTTCATTCCTCCCATCTCCATTGCTGGCAAAGGTGAGAGCTGAGTTTGGAGTCTCATGGGAAGAAAAGCCTTCATATTTAAGGTCTCTGTTAACTGACATCTCTGGAGTCAAATTAGTCGGCATCCTGTTGAAGCCTCCATTGGTTGGATTACCAGGTGGAAAGTGCCTATACGTTGGACTCCTAGGAAAATAGTTTCCATATGTTGAGTCCCTGAGATTGTTATTTACACAGGTCTGGATATCTCCATAAGACTGGCCTTTGCATGCAAGAACCCCAACATTGTTGTTTCTGCGAGGTGGGTGCACTGCATTGCGGTTTTTACAAATTGCAAATTGGGGATTGACAGTCCTGCAGTTTGGAGCCACAGGGTTCATATTTCCAGTGAAAGTTGGAGGCCTCAGATTTCTGCAACACGGACCAACAAAATTTGTACTGTTTTCTTCTATGCCCTTACAAGTGGCAGCTCTTGGGTTGTTGGTACAAAGTGAGGCCCTGGTGTTCTTGACTCCTCCAGCTGCCTCCCTGGGATTTGAAGTGCCGCAAACTGGAACCTGGGGACTGAAATCTCGACATGCTGGTGCTTTACTGGTGCGAGCTGGACCGTCTGGATGAGAAGTTGCCCCATAAACTGGAGTCTTGGGGGTGGTGACTGTACACACTGCTCCCACTATGTGGTTAGAATTGTTATGGTCACTAGAAGAACTTTCTTCACTAACAGGAACTGATGAGTTACTCCTCTTTGACGAGCTTTGCTCAGGATCAAGCTTTTCACTGCCCAGGCCTTCAGACTGAGCTCCATTACTGGCACTCTTTCCATCAACATCATTATTCCCAAAACTAATTCCCCCCTCACCAGGTCCCCAGCACCACCAGAAGCTTTTACATTTCCTAGAAAACTGCAGAGGATATGTTCGCGCACAGCGCATAGTCTGCTCCTCTGGAATGTCCGAGATATGAGTAAGTGTTTCCTCTTCTTCTGGGATCTCCTCTTTAGCAGGAGGAGATGAAGGAGAGTTGTTATGAGAAGGTTTTGGTTGGGAAGTCTGGAGTAGTGAGCCTTGCCTCATCTCTGCAGCTTGTTCAGGAGGGAGGAACTTAGGAGGCTGTGGCTCGTTTTCTTGAATGTGGATAAACCCTGTGCTCCTTGGTTGGATGGAATTCTCAACTCCGATAGCGTAGGAGCTGAGTTTGTTGGTGGACAAATCATCTTCATCATCTGTCTCATCAAACACTGGGTCAATACAAACTACTTCATCTTTGACAGCTGTGAAGCCTTTTCCCAAAGTCTTCATGTCTTGATTTGTGAACATGTCTTTTTCATTGTCACTCTTGTGGGAGCTGTCAGCATCTCTCCTTTCCTGGTTCCTATACGGTTCTGTATTCAAGGAATTATCCTGGGTTTTATATCTGTTGTCGAGTCGGTCTTTGGTATTAAGACATGGGTAGGACGACATGGTTGTTGGAGCCAATTCCTGGGAATTCTGATATTGATGTACTGCATATGGTAGACATTGTTTTGGTGCAGTGTGTGGTGGGTAAAAGCCACTGTTGGTGAGCAGGACTGGGTGGGAGTAGACAGATCCCTTGCCTGGAATGGATATGCGTTGCAAGGACATATTCTCTGCAACTGAATATGGGATGTAACGGTTGGTGTATCCTAAGCCAGGAGGGAGGTAGGATTCACCAAAGATGTGGCAAGAGGTGTTTCCGTTATCAACACACGGCTGCTGATGTGGATGAGGTGTCTCCTGAGCCTCTGACTTAGCAGGAGTTAAGATCTGTTTTCCAGAGCATGTGCGAGTTTCTACTTTGCTGTTTGGAGGGCCTTTCTCTACATGATTGTTAGAGGCTTGCGGCCATTCAACTTTGGATTTGGGGGAAGGGGACATTGCAGAAGATCTTCCCCCTGAGGCAGGACTGAGACTGCTGCTTATCTCTACTTTTGTGAACTGAGAACCGTGAGGCTTGTTTTTATTCATTATTTGGGAGCCTCTGTTGTGGTCCGAGCTGACAGCTGAGGAAGCACCCAGGGCAACCCAAGAGGAGGTTACAGTACTGATCATTTCAGGACAATTTGGAGTGTTAGCTGATGTGCTAACAGGTGGGGGCAGACCCTCTGACTGACTGTCCAGCATCTCATAATGAGATGGCGGTAAAAAACCCAATTTGGCCACTGCCTCTACTTTGAACGAGAAACCATTTGCAAAACCTTCCAACTCTTTTGCAGACAGATCCAAAGGGTTTTCTCCAGGGTATTTGTCAGGTTTTTGAGGCAGAGCTCTGTCCAGTGATGTCTGTGCAGGTGATGCACACTTCTCTGCACTACAGTGGTCTGAGCTGGCATCTTTGGTTTTGTTGTTGCCTAAGTGCAGGGGAGAGCAGTGCTCAGAGTTCAGGCTAGACGTGTAAAAGGGGTGAGACACCAAGAGTGAAGGTGATGCGGAGGTGATTCTGCAAGTGGACTTCTGTAGGTCTGTAGTGGTGTTTCTGAGGGATTGAGGAACTGAACATGGAGGATGGGTAACTGTGGGTAAATCTATGGCAGCAGTGCTAGCTGAACTGCTAACAGGGGCAGTGCTACTTTCACTACTGCTACTCTTGTAAGACGAGGACTGACTGGACTTTGCGCCACTGATATTGCTGCCATGTCGTCCCTCAGTAGGGTGAGGCTCATGCTCCTGGTGGATCTGTGGACTGGTGCTGAAGGGTTCCTGTTGTACCTGAGGACCAATTCCCTGCAAGGCTTTGTCCTGGCAGTGTGAGAGAGGTGCCCGGACAGCAGGAGCAGGGGTGGCCTTAGGGAACCTGATTGGAGGGTCCAGTGGAGATGTGATATGGGTTGGGGCAAAACGAGAAAGGTAGAAAAGTCTGTCTTCCCTGGTTGTGCTGCTTCCTGCCCCAGCGGCACACAAAGACTGATATGCCAGCTGCTGGTGGACAAAGGTCGATGGCTGGGACAGGAAAGAGGCCTTGAATGCCATGTCTAAGAATGGGTACATTGTTGCATCAGCATAAGGCCTGATCCAGGGCAATCTTAGGAAGTTTCCAGCACCATTCAGGCCCAGTTCTAACTGTTTATCACTGGGTAGAACCCTGAGGTCTGGCCCCAGGCCATCAGCTCCTGCAGCAGGGACAAGCAGAGGTTTCTGCAGCCCTGGTGTTGGGTTCTTATAGAGTCCAACATATTCGTTTGCCGGCTTCTGGCCATTCAGCGTGGTTACATTAGATCTGTACAGGAGATTGTAGCCCAGTGGGAGAGAAGAGTCAGACTCCCGGGGTATTTCAGCTGAAAGAGGATGGATGCCAGGATAGAAAATCCCTCCATGGGGGCGGCGGTTTTCCCCCACCAGAGTGTTGCGGTCAATGCTGAGGGCAGCGACTGGGTTCATCCTGTAAACTGTGCTGGCATCCACCTGTAACATGGAGGAGAGTAAATGTAAGCAGACAGATACATGAGTATTCAACAGTATTCTTCATTAGTGGATACATCGTAAACAAATCAGCTGTTTGGAATCTTCCTTTGACACAAACAATACAACTGCAACTACTAGAAGCAATTCACCAACGATTTCAGGAAGATGAAAGTTTTAATTTCAACCCATAAGAGATTTTTCCAACAGTGAACAGGATGTAAATTATTGATTAAATATCAGAAATAAAGTGTTAGAGTCACATGGTCAGATTTACTGGTCGAGGACAAACAGGGACAAAGAAAAAGACGTTTGGAGAGTCTTAACGTCAGGACACAAAGTCATTGAGAAAAAGAAAAGGAGAGTTTTCTGTATTTATTATTTATTTGTCCTGGAGCGACTCTGACTCTCCCTCGACAGATCCAGGAAGAAGAGGTGAAAAACGAGGGTGAGAGCCAGAGAGCGAGAGAGTATAAGAAACAAAGAGAGTGAGAGACAAAGGGAGAGCATGGAGAGAGAGCAGCCTAATTGAATTTCCAATCACATGAGTTGTGAACCTTCTCTGATTGGCTGTCAGCCGCGGGGCCATTAGGAAATGATCAGCTGGGGGGCCCTGGAGTCGTGTAGGAGGCAGACAGACCGTTAACTCGCTCTGATTTTTCCAACACAGATAAAAAACCCTTAAGTACAGTTCATCGACAACAGGAAACAGCAACAGGAATATTTTAGGTGAGATTTGTTTTACTGAAACAAAGTTCATGTCATTTCCTCACTAAACATTCCATGTTGTGATGTCAACCTGACGTAATGAGACATTTAAAAAAACGACAGGATTTTTACCGACTGATCGGATGTGACATTCGTAATGATATGTGACATCATGACGTTAATGTGACATTTGATGATGTGAACAATAGCTTAGCTTAGATTGACTTATTATAAAAAATTCATTACAAATCTTTTCTTCTATTTTCTAACGTCATGACTGACAAACGCTTGAGAGCTCAGTTTGTTGAAAATAATATTTTTTGATTTGATTTAAATGTAAATGAGTTAATATACGACACAGGAAGATAAACTGTTACGTGACCTTTGACCTTACCATGCTGTGAGTCTGCGTCAGACAGATGGACGCTCAGTCACGTCCATGTACAGCACGTCTGCAGACAGAGAGAGAAACTGAGTCCTCATACAAACATGAAGGACGTTTTAAAATTCACATGAGAACCAGAGGAGTTTGGTTTCACATTTCAGCTTATCCAGAAAACACACACTCACAACACACACGTCTCCGTCTGCTGCTAACAGGCCCCACGTGTGTGTGTTATCACCTCGTTGCCAGAGGAATCATCGCTGCTCGACAACACACACACACACACACACACACAGTAATTGATGGCTGTGAGGGAGCTGGGATTCAATAACGAGTTTTATCTCCAGACTACTGAAGGGCAGCTGTGTGTGTGTGTGTGTGTGTGTGTGTGTCAATGGGTGATTGGCAAAACTGTGCTGTAAGAAGCACTATAGAACTCATCTGCCTGACTTTTAACCAGAATGAAGGGATGTGATCATATCACCTGCGTTTTAGCCTCAACCACTGGCTCTCAG